ATGCACTGATCCGCTGCGAAAAAAAGACATGTTTTAAGCGCGCTATAGCTAGACTTACCGACGCGTGAATTGGTGTTTGGGTAGGTGGACTGTACCTATGCAAACGGAGCAATGATACGAATACAAAGGTAATGCTTGTCCCTAAATGAACTGTCAAATACGGAAAAGCAAAGTGCAACAGCGCAGTATAGCATCCGCCTTTGTCTTTTTAACAGACCTACCATCCGGACCCATGTTGATTGAGGTGACGTGTTGGCACGAGTGAGCGTTGAACCGAGCATTTTAGCAGTCACTGACAGGGTAGCAGTGCGCCAGTGTTCATTATAAATTTGGAATTGAGGGATGCCATTCTGGTTGTGACAGTACACTCAATCCTCTGCCTGTGATGTTCGTAAACGCGGATGCATTTAGCCAACTGATGGCAGTCAGCCCTCTATTTATTTAGAGCCACAAAGTGCAAATCGCTACGATGATGCTTGCAATGCTTCTTATCATTCTGTAAATATGATGGGAATTATATAGTAGTTACATCGACATTCAAAAACAGGCATTTGCGGAAAAGATTTTACCCAGCCTACGGCTTCTACTTAATAACAGTCAGTACTGTGTACTCTAGCAATACGATATTTGGTCAAAGTAGTGAGTGGGTCTTGCTGTAAATCCATTTCGACGCCCATACACACGTATGCGCATACATATGCAGGTCTTTCCAACGGTATTTTGCTGCATTTTTTTGCAATCCAAATATCAGGTAGTGCGTATTGCGCAGATTTGCATCAACAAACTACACTGGCATTCATTACAGCCTTATTTCTCCCATTAAAAGTATGCCGGTACAAGGAACAAAGGAAACAAAAACGGTGTTTGCTTGTAGTTTTAATAAATGTGACGAGTGTGTTTGAATTCATCGAAGAGCTTTGTGATTGCATCTTATAAGGCAGATGTAAATTTACTTGAATTCAACTTTATTCCCCTTATGATGTATGTCCCCTTAGAAGTAAATTTGTAAATGAAGCTTAATCAATTGGTATTATAAAAATTGGGTTATAATGAAACTTTGTGTGAAAACAAGGTTGAGCCTGGCTGTAGGAATGGACAGATGAACCTTGTAGCATGAAAGACCCCATTATGTTTTTGATACAAAGTTGACTATGCCGAGTTACTGCATGGTGAAAGACAAGAATAGTTAACCGCTACGTTGGCGCACAGTTGCAGCTTGTTTATGTGCACAGTGGAGTGCATGTTTAAATTTAAAATAATCCATGATCGAATTCAGGCTATTTGAATGTATCCTGCATACAACCTAAGGTATAGCACTAGGTGCTTGCTGCAAATGTCTGCTGTGAATCAAAGCTACTAAGACTACATTTCATCTTTTAAATAGATGCGTTATTTTTATGTTACAAATTCGACAATCTCGAAATATATTTCGAGTTGGATTTTACAAAACATATTAATTAACAGTGTTTAGGAAGGCCTATTGTTTGTTTTAGTAAAAAGCGAAAGAAAATACAAAATATTTGGTACTCACCGTTTGGTGCCACTGCAGCCACCAAATGATAAATTCATCAAACCGGAAGTAAAATCAAAGCGCTTTTAGTTAATGCTGGGCAAATGCTCGTGCGAGTATACGAAAACATGAACCATTAAATGTAATCAATGCATACGAAGATACTTTTGGTGTCCCATCACGGTCCACCCGTGTCCAGCGCTCATCCTGCACTACTTCAGAATAGTCAACTGCCGAGTAAACTAGTGTGCAGTTTTGCACTGTCGACATCTCCTGCTCTAATTTGCGATTCTCCATTTTCGACGGTTAGAATAAATTTCGCTCGCCTAAGGAAGGTAAATCAAACAATTTGAATTGTTTAAACAGGCATTTGCCAAACGTTGTAATTTAAATTTGTAAAAAGTTATTAGCAACGTTTTTTAATCCCTAAGTCAGGAACAGATGTACTGTCTCGTGTCTTCCTTAGAAGGGCTCGACTGCCCCATTTTATGGGAGGCTGAAATAGATCCACAAACCAAAGTCGATATGCAAAGCTATGTCAAAATGAACAAGAGCATTAGTATGTAACTTTAAACCATCGCGCAGTAAAGTTTTGGAATGTTACCGATAAAAAGCTGCTGTGAAAGAATACAAACAACCTAGCTTGCTCATTTGTGACCATAGGGGCACACAACCTTCTTTTCTCTCTTACATCGACTCCTTAAAGCATAATATGTAGCCAAGAGCCCCGCTAGGGACTTTTGCTTGCTAAAACCTGTCATAATTTTACAGCTGGGCTATACCTATTCCACAATGTAGGGTTAAATTAATTAACAGTGTTTC